GAACCGGTCTGTATGTGGGATCCGAACCCTCGGCGGGAGCGCTGCCACGCTCCCAAGCGGCGCACTGTAGCAGTGCGCCACCGGGCCGGCCCATGTCGATTGTATTTTAGAGTGATGAAAGTAAGAAAAGTTTTTTTTACATTTACCTTTATTTAGCCATTTCCATTGATCTTCATTTCTTTGTGTAGATCTAGGTTTTTATGTGGCATCATATTCCTTCTTCCTAAAGAACTCTGTTTAATATTTGTCGTAGTGCAGGTCTGCTGGTAATGAATTCTAGTTCAGTTTGTCTGAAAAAGTATCTATTTCTTATTTTCTTTTTAAATCATCATGATTTTCTTTATTGACATATAATCCATACATCATAAAATTTACCTTTTTAAAGTATACAGTAGGTTTTAGTAAATTCAGAATGTTGTACAACCATCATCACTATTTAATTCCAGAACACTATTATCACCCCCAAAAAGAAACCCATACCCATTAGTAGTCGCTTCCACACCTTCCTGCCCCCAGCCTGTGGCAACCACTACCTTCATTTTTTTTTTCCTTTTTTTGTCTTTTTTACTGACCGGTAATGGGATCGCAACCCTCGGTGTTGCGGCCGCACCACGCTAAGCCAGTGAGCGGGAACCGGTCTCCACATGGGATCCGAACCCTCGGCAGGAGCGCCACCGCGCTCCCAAGCAGCGCACTCTCCAGTGTGCCACCAGGCCGGCCCTACCTTCATTTTTTTGTTTTTTTTTTTTCCTTGTTTTGTCTTTTTTACTGACCGGTAATGGGATCGCAACCCTCGGTGTTGCGGCCGCACCACGCTAAGCCAGTGAGCGGGAACCGGTCTCCACATGGGATCCGAACCCTCGGCAGGAGCGCCACCGCGCTCCCAAGCAGCGCACTCTCCAGTGTGCCACCAGGCCGGCCCTACCTTCATTTTTGAGAGACTTTTTTACTGTGTATAGGATTCTGAGTTAGCAGTTTTTGTTTTTTTGTTTGTTTTCTTTCTGCACTTTAAAAAATGCCCTCTATTTGCAGTGTTATAACACCACGATCAAGGGTTTGGATCCTTGTACCAGCCAGCTGCCCCCGCAAAAAAGGAAAAAAAAATGCACTACACTGTCTCTGGCTTTTATAGTTTCTATTGAGAAGTCTATTGTAATTGTTTTTTCTTTTGTGTGTAATGAGTACTTCCCTCACCCTTCCACCCGACCCCTCTACCTCAAAAATTTTCTCTTTGGTTAGCAATTTGAATATGATGTATGTAGATATGTGTGTGTGTGTTTTAGCCTAGCATGTTTTAGCCTATTCTCTGAACTGCTTGGTTCTATTATTTGATGTCTTAAATAATTTTTTGAAAATTTTTGGCTATTACCTCTTCAAATATTTCTTCTGCCTCATTTTTTCTTCATTTTGGGGGATTTTTTTTTTTTTTTTTGCGGCTGGCTGGCATGGGTTCTGAGGTCCAAACCCGTGACCTTGGTGTTATAAGGCTGCTCTCTAACCAATTGAGCTACCTGGCCAGCCCTTTTTTGGGATTCTCATTACGCATGTGTTAGATGATTTGCTGTTGTCATATAGTTCTTAGATGTTCTCGTATGTATTTTTCTTTCTTTTTTTCCTGTGCTTCAGCGTGGGCAATTTTCATTGACCTGTTGTATTAGTCTGTCTCTGTTGCTTATAACAAAATACCTGAAATTGGGTAAGTTATAAAGAAATAAAATTTATTTCTTACAATTTCAGAGGCTGAGAAGTCCAAAGTCCAGGGTGCACATTTGGTGAGGGCCTTGTTTGTGGGTGGTGACTCTTCTCAGTAGCATTGGGTGTCACGTGGTGAATAGCTTGAGCAAGAGAGAGCTGAGCTTCTCATTCCCTCTCCTTATAAAGCCATCCATTCCATGCCCATTACTATCCATTAAACATCAATGGATTAATCTGTTCAGGAGGATACAGTCCTCACAATCTAATCACCTCTTAAAGGCTTCACATTTCAATTACCATAATAGGATTTCCCACCCTCTTAACACTTTCACAGTGGGAATGAAGTCTCTAATACATGAAACCTGGGGGACACATTCAACCCATATAACCTGTCTTTAAGTTTACTGATTCTTTTTTTTTTGGTGGGGTTGCGGGGCACAGGTGGCTGGTACAGGGATGGAACACTAGACTTTGGTGTTATCAGCATCACATGAACTAACTGGCCAGTCCCTGATTCTTTCTTAATGTTTCCATCTCTCTGCTGACATTTCTTACCTGTTCATGTATGTTGTCCACCTTTTCCACAAGAGCCTTTAACATATAAATTATATTTATTTTAAATTCTCTATCTGATAGTTTCAGCATCTGGTAAATGTAATCTTTTTTGGAGAGCTGGGGGCAGCTGGCTGGTGTGGGGATCCAAACCCATGACTTTGGTGTTACCAACACCACGCTCTCCACAGTTAGCCAACTGGACAGCCCTGGGGCAAATGTAATCTCTTGATTTTGGTTTTGTTGATTTTTATCTCTTGGCAGCTGACTGTTTTTTCTAGCTTTTTTGTGTCTTGTAGTTTTTGATTGTTGCCAGACATAATATGTAGGACAGAGACTGAGAAATATTTACATCTGGAAATTCTTTTTTTTTTTTTTTTGTCTTTTTGTCTTTTTCCGTGTCCGGCAACGGATCGCAACCCTCAGTGTTGCCCCCGCACCGGACCGGGGACCGGCAACGGGATCGCAACCCTCGGCGCTGCTCCCGCGCCTCGCTCAGCCAGTGAGCGGGAACCGGTCTGCATGTGGGATCCGAACCCTCGGGCGGGAGTGCCGCCGCGCTTCCCAAGCGGCGCACTATCCAGTGCGCCACCGGGCCGGCCCCTGGAAATTCTTCTATTAGGGCATTAACGTGTGAAGTTGAGTCAGTCCTGTCAGGAATTGAACTGGGTTTGGGTTTTGTTGTTATAGTTACCTTTGCTCACCACAGGCTTTCAAGTTATCTGGTATTACCTAGTGTTTCCAGTGAGGTTTGATTTTCCAGAGGGTTTTTCTTAGCAGCCCTGCTCTCCTCAGCTGTAAGACTTTCCTGGGAGCCTGTGCCTTAGAGATGGTCTCTCTGTGGTCTCACCCCTTCTCTAGAAGTAGACTGCTGCTGCTTGTCACTTGGTGTTTGCTCATTTGGAAGGAGGGTGGAGGTAGTCCTTTTTTACCATGGTCCGTCTTTCTTAGGCAGGTCTGTGTCCTTGCCTCTGTGGCTTGGGCTTTCTCAGTGATCCTGCACCTGCCCCAGGGGTAGGAGTTTTTTTTTTTTCTACTTCCCCAGCCTCAATAGGTCTTTACCTGTATCCAAAGGGTATTAGGGATTATTACCCTTTCCTGACCACTTAAGACTTTTGTTCCTCGGGGGAGAAGTGATCAGTAAGGCTTTATGCCTTTCCTGAAGCAGAGGAGCTCCCCTTCTCTAGATGTGCAACAGCAAGGAAGGCTTCCTTCAGGCTCCTGCCCTGTTCCCAGTCTTGTGAACACCTGGTGAGAAGTTCCTGTGAGCTGATGCATGTTGCCCTGATGTTTGCACCTCCCAGAGGTTCTGTACTCACGCTTGCCCATACTCTGTTTTTAGCAATTTGATAATAACTTTACCTGAATATCTTACCTGCTTATACAAAGGCCCTGTCTTCTTCCTGTTGCCACTGATAAGCCAGTACTTGTGTCCCACCTCCCTTTGGAGGTCCTGTTCTTCCTTAAATTTCAGGCTAATTGGTTGTCCTGCGATCTCAGTTCTCTGATGAGTTTAAGAAAAGTTATGGTTTTAGAGATTATCAAGCTGTTTTCTTATTGTTAGGGTGGAAGTGATGCTCTTCCCATCTTTTTATAAATCTCTTTTAGTTCATAAAGATTTATGAACTAAATCTTGAATGGCAAGTAGGAGTTGGCATGATGAGAAAGGGTGGGAAGGACATTTTGTGTACAGGAAGGTTCAGCAAGACACAAGGGCATGAAATTGCATGAAAGTGGCATTTACAAACAGCTGGTTTAGGTTCAAATTAACAATGTGAGTGATAGCTCGAATGGTTGGCCAGTTCATGGAAGGCCTGAATGCCCAGTGAAGGTCTAAAATTCTGAAAGTATTGAGGAGCCATAAATTTACAGCTTTGGTGGTCATTTGCCACCAAGCCTCTTTCCTTTGGTGAAAAATTGAATCAAGAAGGGTTAATAAAGCATGGGCTGAATTGCTTCTAAAATGATTGCTATGCTCTTAAGTCCCTTAAGTACTCCCCAATCTGCATGTAGAAGTCTGCTGAGTGCATCTAATCTACCCATGTATTTTGCTTCCAGTCAGGCAGCATTGGTCTCATAGACAGTCCTGAGAACTGGGAGAAAGTCTGGGACAACTGGAGGCTGCTGACAATGGCTGGGATCTTTGACTGCTGGGAGCCTCCAGAGGGAGGAGACCTCTTGTATTCCTATACCATCATCACAGTGGATTCCTGCAAAGGCTTGAATGGCATCCACCACAGGCAAGTCACAGTTCTTATCTGTGGATCCAAAAGGATTCAAAGGAGAATTTGTTCTGTGTACTTTTAGATAGGTTGCTTTAGGGAGTAGGAAACTAAGAGAGTTGTTTTGAAAAATACAGTTACTGTCAATTCAGCTGTAACATGACATGCATTCCTAAAAACTACTGCACTCTGCAAAATTGTAGAATTAAAATAACTTATGGGGAAACTAGAGTTAAGTAGACAACACTTAAAAACTTTGTCAGTAACCATTAAAAAGTAATAGGAATCTAATAAAAACAATAGCCCAGTTTTTAATCATGTTAAGTAGTTAAGAAATACATAAATACTACAATAATATGGCACTTTACCTTGAAAAAGACATGAAGTTTCCTTGTGGAAGTAGGTGTTGGAAGAACTGCAGCTCGTGAGTTACTATGACGTTGTGGAAGGAAGGTTATGCAAAAAATTTTTTATTTTTTTCAGTCTTAAATCCTGGGACTTGTTTTCCCCCTTTAAATGTAGTTCCTGGGCCAGCCTGTGGCTCACTCGGTAGAGTGCGGTGCTGATAGCACCAAGGCTGCGGGTTCGGATCCCATATAGGGATGGCCGGTTTGCTCACTGGCTGAGCGTGGTGCTGACAGCACCAAGCCAAGGGTTGAGATCCCCTTACCGGTCATCCTTTAAAAAAAAAATAAATAAATAAATAAATAAATAAATGTAGTTCCTTTGAGGCATGTTTATAATAGATGCCTATTTAATCAAAACTGAACATTTGATCCAATGTATAGCCTCATTCTGTATCAATGCTAGAAATTCTTTAGTAGGTTCTCTTGACAGCAGAAAGCTTTAGAAGGGCCAGCCTGTGGCTCACTCAGGGAGTGCAGTGCTGATAACACCAAGGCTACAGGTTCAGATCCTATATAGGGATGACCGGTGCGCTCACAGCGCTCACTGGCTGAGCGTGGTGCGGCCGGTCTCAAAAAGGACAAAAAAAAAAAAAAAAATGTGGGGGATACAATTCAAACTTCAATGAGTTTTGTGGGGATATAATTCAATCCACTACAGTTAGTATGCTAAAGAATATTTCCATTGCTTCTATTCTTTTAAGCCTGGTTGGTATTAACTTCACAGCACTTCTTGAAGTTGATCCAGCTATGGACACTTATTTTGCAACATTGTCACTGAGGTGGTTTCTTGATAATGGTTGCATGGGAGATAATCACATGTTCTCATGTTTCTTTCAAGATGTGTTATTAAAGTTTCTTATCAATATTTAAAATGTTTCTATTTTCATGCACTGCCTAGCATGTTTTGGGCCAGGAAGCTTAGACATGTTTGAGATGTTAAATGAGTGATACTCATATATTTATATTTATATATATATATATATATATATATATATATATGTATGTATGTAAATGAGGGTACTTCAAAAAGTTCATTGAGAGATTCATATTATCTTTTAATTCTGTTTTTCCACAGACTTTTTTTTTTTGGCAGCTGGCAGGTATGGGGATCCAAACTCTTGACCTGGTGTTATCATTTTTCCACAAACTTTTTGAAGTACCCGTGTGTGTGTGTATGTATGTGTGCACACGTGTAAAAGTTCACAAATGCAAAAGAATAGCAAAACAAAACTTTGTAGGATAATATGCTGTGGTCCAAGTTAGCTGTCAGTGTTTGAGGTGTGTGCATTTTGTGTATTCTTACAAGGCTCAGTTCAGCTATGTGCAGTTTTCTGTGTACACCTCATGTTTCCCACCAGTGAAATCACGCATGAGTAAACACAAAATTTGCATTATGCTTCAATTGCTCTTTAATATATAAATCACATTGGAACAGATTTGCATTTTAAAAACAAGCATTAGCAGAACTTGCTATACTTGTGTAACACCTTCACAGTTTTTGCCATATCTGAGTACTCTCCAAAGTCATTTTTTGGTTTTCTTTCTTTTTTTTTTTTTTTTTAAAAAGATGACCGGTAAGGGGATCTTAACCCTTGGCTTGGTGTTGTCAGCACCACGCTCACCCAGTGAGCGAACCGGCCATCCCTATGTGGGATCCGAACCCGGGGCCTTGGTGTTATCAGCACCGCACTCTCCTGAGTGAGCCACAGGCTGGCCCATTTTTTGGTTTTCATATGATAAAATACAGTACTATACCTATCAGGATTACCTACTTTACCTTTGTCCTAAACTATATCTGTGAAACTATGCTTTCATATGACATAGTAGTTCTATTTTTTGCTAATTAACCTTAAAATAAATTCCCCCTTTTTTTGGCAGGTAGCTGGTATGGGGATCCAAACCCTTGACCTTTGTGTTATAACACCACACTCTAACCAACTGAGCTGACTGGCCAGCCTAAATTCCCCTATTTCATCTATTCTAAATGTGCCATTATTTTGTAGGTTGTTAAAGAAGGGTAAAACACTGCCAGTTATTGCCAACTAAACTATAATGCAATTCAAAGATGCCACTTGCCATAAAATGCACCTGGCTTTTAGAGATTTTTGGGGGGTGGCCAGTACAGGGATTGAACCCTGGACCTTGGTGTTATAGGTACCACGCTCTAACCAACTGAGCTAACAGGCCAGGCCTATTTCAGAGAGTTTTAATTAATTTATTTATTTGGAAACTGGCCCATATAGGGATCTGAACCTGATCAGCACCAACTGAGCTAAATGGCCAGCCCTGATTTCAGAGGTTTTAAAAATATTTTAAAGTCATGTTTGATTTGTTGAAGTTACAGTATTTAACTATTGATATAGATGGTTATGCATCTATCTCTTAAAATCAGCTGTATCATCCACTGGTGAAGTGTGTGCCATGCTTTGCTTTGGCCTAGGACATACAACTGGAAGCTAAACAGGATCTTTTCCAAACATCTTCGGGGTATCAGGAGTCATCTTAGACAGCACTCTGCTTTTCTGAGGACTGGTTTCCTTTTGTTCACAATTATGTGAACAGCCCTTTCTTACTGGAGATTGTTATTGATAGACAAGTTTTCCAGGATCTATTTTCCCTTTAATTGTAGGCTGGGGCATTATAGAAAGCTCACCAATTTGCTAGAGTGTTCACTGGAGTACACCGGATTCAGTCATAACAGTCATCACTGTCTTTGCCGTGAAATTTTTTTTTTCATTATTTAGAGAATACTTTGTTTCTGTAATCAAACCCATGTAGATAAGACCTTACATATTTAATACAGCACATTATCCCTGTACAGATGGAAAAAAAATTAAGTTTAATGTTTTTAGATCAATATGGCTGTTAATTTCTGTACAACTCAACAAGGTAAACTGGGATACTTTTTCCAAAGTTGATGGCACAACTGAAGTTTGCAAAAATTCAAATCATGTATATATATATTTATATAAAAAGACCAATAATAGCAGTATGTTGTGCGTCAACAGCAGCAACAGCTTTTCCAAGTTCTGCAGTTATCTGAACAAAATTAGAGAGACATCCAGCACACTCCATTTTTAAAAAAAAAAAAAAGGGAAAAAACAAAACCCCAGAAAACAGCAAAGTTTTATTACTATTGTGGTACCTGGCACCATTTTTTTTTTCTATTAGCTTCTCAATCATCATCTGGAAAGAAAACACTCTAGAATAACACCATTAAAAACAGCTCTTGGGCCGGCCCGGTGGCGCACTGGATAAGTGCGCCGCTTGGGAAGCGCGGCGGCGCTCCCGCCCGAGGGTTTGGATCCCACATACAGACCGGTTCCCGTTCACTGGCTGAGCGAGGCGCGGGGGCAACACCGAGGGTTGCGATCCTGTTGCCGGTCCCGGTCCGGTACGGGGGCGACACTGAGGGTTGTGATCCGTTGCCGGACACGGAAAAAAAAGACAAAAAAAAAAAAAAAACAGCTCTTACCATGGAGTTTTATAACTTGGTTTTCCAAGTGTTGAATCTAGTGCCTGATCAAGTTGTGCTCAGAGAGCATATGGCAGCAATCAGCATGTGAGGTACAGAGGGAAGGCGAGCTTCTCCTTGTGATAGTTTGAGCTATCAGCTGACTCAAGTCTCTCCCTACCCTCACTCTACATCTCTCCCATCAATGTTTTGGCCACCTTGGCTAGGATGCCTGCCATATTAGATGGAGAGGAGGAAGTCTCTAAATGGCTTGACTTTGATGAGGTCTCAACTCAGGAAGCTCTGAAGTTGATCCACCCCACAGAAAACATCGCCTTCCATCCGGTCTCTCCTGTGGTGAACAACTCAAGAAACAACACTCCTGAGTGTCTGGCCCCTGTCGACTTGGTGGTCAAAAAGGTAGGGGTATGTGACTATTTCAGTCCTTTTTGAGCTTTGTCTTCTGTGTGGCCTTTTCTTTTAGATATGGCCTTTTACAATCAGAACTTTAATTTGCACCACCCCAAAGCTTTTATACTCCTTGTATATGGCAAGGTAGAGTAGAGCAGTGATTCTCAAACCTGCCTGTGACTCAAAGGGCTCGGGAGAACTCTTTCAAAATGTAAATGCTAGGGCCGGCCCATGGTTCACTTGGGAGAATGTGGTGCTGATAACACCAAGGCCACGGGTTCGGATCCCTATATAGGGATGGCCGGTTGGCTCACTTGGGAGAGCAGGGTGCTGACAACACCAAGTCAAGGGTTAAGATCCCACTACCGGTCATCGTTAAAAAAAAAAAAAAAAAAATGTAAATGCTGCAGCCTATCTAAACATCCTGAATCAATATTCAGGGTTGGACTTGGGCTTCTGAATCATTAATAAGCTTCTTTGCTGAGTCTGATAAGCCAAGTTTAAGGACTCCTAATCTAGGGGTGATTGTGAGAAAGACAAAGGGGCCCTTGACCATAACGAATCTCTGTTCCAACCCTCTGTGATTTTTGATGTCTCTTTTCTGTACTTCAGCTTTCCCAACTACAGTTTGGAGGAGCTCTAGCCCTCAGTCTCTTTCAGGAGGATTAGAGAGCATTCCTGCTGTGAACTTCAACTTCTTAGAGTTAGCAAGGATCCAGAGGATGTATTTTGAAGGGAAGGTGAGCAGGCAAAAGGCTTGCAGTGGAGAGTGAAGTTCCAGAGCAAAAAGCTGGCCCCTGCTGAGGTTTGGGGTAAAGGTTTGGGAGTAGTGATTATTTCTAGGTGGCATGGAGGGACCTGAAGTAGGACATGCTTGGAATGTTCCAAGAATAGACATCTTAGACTGCCTGAGCAGTGTCAAGGAGGCTGATTGCAAGAACGGTTACCCCTTTCCCCATTTTCCTTAAAGCTTTTTGTTTTCCATACCCACAGTCAGTGTCATCTTTTTTCTTTTGTCTCAGTTATTTTCAAACTCCTGCAGCTGTGACACTTTTTTTTTTATTAGACGTCTCTAAAACTGTAATTCTTTTTTTTTTTTTTTTTTTAAAAATGACCGGTAAGGGGATCTTAACCCTTGACTTGGTGTTGTCAGCACCACGCTCAGCCAGTGAGCAAACCGGCCATCCCTATATGGGATCCGAACCCGGGGCCTTGGTGTTATCAGCACCACATTCTCCCGAGTGAGCCACGGGCCGGCCCTAAAACTGTAATTCTGTATATTCATTTTGCACTAGACGTTGCCCCATTTTCACCACAGTCTTTATTCCAAAAGAAGTCACTTTCTGGAGAGGTAGCATTATGCAAATTAAGAATCTTTCAGTTCAGGGTTGGGATGTGGATGTATGGGAAGCAGAAGGGAGAAGTAGTTGATGAGAGGTTGTGCACACAGGCTGTACAGAAGAGAAACAGTTTAGCCTGTGAATCCCTGACCACAGTGGCTGTGGTAAGCTCATACCTCTCCAGCCTCATTTTCCAGCACTCTCCGTGGTCACACCGAATTACATTCTTTTCCCTGAGAATGCTTCATTCTCTGCATGTTTGGAATGCTCTTCAGCTGTCTTCTGTGACTGGTTCCACACTCTCCTCTGTGAAACCTCCCTTACACCTTGGTGCACACTCCTCTCTTCCCACCCCTAACTAGTAGTCCTCATCTGGCCCTTAATATTTTCCGAGCCTAAGTCAGTACCTAATATCTTTTCCCCTGTTTCTTTCCTTGGACTTCCCAAGAGCTTGAGCTGGGTTGGCTGTGCTTTTTCTTCTAGGAGCTCAAGGCAAGTGGCAGCAGCCAGAAGATGTTGCAATGGCTGGCCACAAAGTCACCCAAAAAGGAAAACCCAAAAACAACCAAGAAGGAAGAGTCAGATGTGCCCCAGTGGTCCAGCCAGTTCCTGCAGAACCGCCCATTCCCCACCAAGAGAAACAGTGCAGGACTTCTGGAGCGATGGCTGAAGCGAGAGGAGGAGGAGGAGCCTGTGGCCAAGTGGCCTCACAGCCAGTAACATGGGACTTTCAGAGACCATGGTCTGCTGTACTAAATACTGTTGCTGATAACAGGTTCTTGCATTGTGTGTATGTGTGTGTGTGCTTTGGAAAAAGGTGGCACAGTGCTAGTTGATAGTTGTGGGCTCCTGGTGGAAGTGGCTATCCTAGCCATGACTAGGAACCCACAGTGGGGCTGATGGGGCAGTGTTGGAAAAGGCAAGTCCTCTGCCATCACCAGCCCCGGAGGCCCCATGGGGTGCTGTGCTTGCTGCCCTTTCCTTGTAGGGCTGGTGGAGTTTGGAAGTCTGATTCTACTGGGAGATCTCAGCCCTAACTTGGTACTCCTAGCAAGAGGCTATTTTCTGCTCAAGCCTCTGGTCTCTTTCTGTCTTTTAGAATTAAGTTCTTAAAATGTACTTTTTCTGAATAAATTATATTTGATAAACTTCTCCCTACATTTTGGAAAATGATGCTGGAGGGGATTCTGAATCTTACCTGTTTTCTCCTGGTATCAGTCATAAGGAATGGATTTTGTCACAAATGGGGCACTGGGGCTTTCTGAGGGAAAAAACTACATAAAAGCTTGATTGAGTCTTTTTTCACTCTTAATACTTCAAAGTTGTCTAGGGTCGGCCCATGGCTCACTTGGGAGAGTGTGGTGCTGATAATACCAAGGCCACGGGTTCGGATCCCATATAGGGATGGCTGGTTCGCTCACTGGGTGAGCGTGGTGCTGACAACAACAAGTCAAGGGCTAAGATCCCCTTACCGGTCATCTTTAAAAAAAAAAAAAAAAAAAAAAAAAATAATAATAATAATAATAATAATACTTGAAAGTTGTCTGAACCCTTTAGCTTAAAACCAACCTGAGTTGAATGCCTGCCATACTCAACTCCAGGGGTTGGCAGGAGAACAGGTGTAGAGGCCAAGACGCTGTCCTCACCACAGGGAGCATTGGATCTGACCTAGAATCACTTCACAGCCCACCAAGCCCTGTGCAAAGATTCCCAAGCTCCAGATAGAGCAGGGCCCAGAGGATGACATGGGCTTGGGGGATGGGAGATTCATTCTGAGCCTGGAACTAAGGCTGCCACGTGGGGGTTGGGAGTGTGGGTGTGGGTGCTGACCACCCACCCCAGCCTGGGTCCTAGCCCCTGTGATTTGTTTTGTGGGCTCCCCTTACTTTTCCTTCTTGGTACTGAATGACTTTATAGTGAGATATTTATTTTGGGTGTTTATTGTCTATCTCCCCATCCACATCATTAGTTCCATGAAGCTAGGGACCACTTTTGCGCCCTTATTTTCTCCCCATGTTAATAGTAGGTGTGCAGGGCTGGCCCGTGGCTCACTCGGGAGAGTGTGGTGCTGATAACACCAAGGCCATGGGTTCGGATCCCTATATAGGGATGGCCGGTTCGCTCACTGGGTGAGCGTGGTGCTGACAACACCAAATCAAGGGTTAAGATCCCCTTACCGGTCATCTTTAAAAAAAAAAAAAGTGTGCAAATATTTGTTCAGTGAATTTGAGCAATTACTGTGTGCCCAGCCCTGTGCTACAGCAGGGAACTGACAGCTATTAACCAGATACCACAACTTGCAATTTGGTACTTGCTATTGTTTGTTCCAAAGGGAGCCGAGAGAGCTGCTATAGATGGGGGTACTCTGAAAAGGCCTCTCCTGTAAACCCCTAGGGGAAGAGAAGGTGCAGAGGCTGGGGGGAGTGGCATGAGGGGAGCTTCACAGGTATTCAGATGGGAAGGAACGGAAGAATCCCCAGGAAGCGCCAGGGCCGGTGGGCTCTTTCCTCTTTGGGGCGTCCAGGACGGAGGAACCCGCAAAACGCCGCCTCAGGCTGCTGGAAGGAAGCGGGCCCGGAGGCGAACAGGGAGGACAGGGCGGTGTCGGCAGCAGCAGGCGCCTGCCGAGGCCCTATGCAAATCAGGGATCGGAATTTCCACCAATCAGAGGCAGGCTCCGACTCGTAACTGCTAATGGCAGTGGGCGGAGCGGGTGGGGCGGGCGGCGGGCGGGGGTCCCGGCCGAGGCCCGCCCTCCTTGCCTTGTCTCTGAATTTCCCTTTTGAACGCCCTCGCTTCCGGCTGAGGGGCGGGGTCGGCCCGGGGAGGTTACACACTCGGGCACCCGGCACTGCCGGTGTGAGAGCGGGGCTCAAACTGCTGCCTGTGGCTTTTGGGCTGATTTGTGTGGGGTTTGGTTGTTTTAGTTTTTTTTGTTTGACCGGTAAGGGGATGGCAACCCTCGGCTCAGTGTCGTCCACACCACGCTGAGCCAGTGAGCGTACGGGCCATCCCTATATGGGATCTGAACCCGCAGCCTCGGCGCTACTAGCACCGCATTCTCACGAGTGAGCTAGGGGGCTGGCCCTGGTTGTTTTATTTTTAAAAATTCATGGGCCGGCCCGTGGCTCACTTGGGAGTGTGGTGCTGACAACACCAAGTCAATCCCCTTACTGGTCATCTTTTTTAAAAAAAATAAAATATAAAAAAATTCAGATAACTTACTAGAATGTTCGCTGGCACGACTATTTTGTCATATTTGCTTTAAGTTTAATAAAGAACAGAAATGAGATTTGTTTTTTTATGTCTATCTTCTCACTGTTTCTCCTAGTTGCAAATTAGTTTGGTGGGTCTTTTCATTTTAACATGAAAGAATATAGTGCCCCCAGGGGTATGTGTCCTTTTCATGCAAGCTCTTATACTTTCATGTCATTGTGATGTTAAAAGTGCGTTCTGGTATCTGAGAACATACTGTTTTCTGCGTTTTAGGTTTACATAGATTATATCATCGCCCCCCCCCCCAATCCCCCCCAGCAGTGACCTGACTTGGCTCTAGGCCTTAGGGTGATTCTTTACTGTGCTGCAGCTTTATTTATTTATTTATTTTTGCAACTGACCAGTAAGGGGCCAAACATTAACCTTGGTATTATAACACCACACTAACCAACTGAGCTAACCAGCCAGGTTGTGCTGGGGCTTTAGAGAAGGCAGAGAGTTCCTCAGACTCTTGGTCCTGATAGATGGATACTGTTACCTGTCCCCCTCTCCTGTCTGCAGTCTGTATGGATCCATTGTCTCATGCAAGGCTTGTATGCCTAAAGCCCAACCCTGCTTTGTATTGAGGCAGAAATAGACCCGGGCAAGGGAAGAGCTTGGCCAAGGCACACAGCTTGGCATATAGGTAAGTTGAGAACAAATCCAAGGGGCTTCTTGCCTGGTAGGAGTGTTTCAGCTTGGAGAGTTTGTAGGAGATCCTGCCTGTTGCCAGAAAGGGCTTGCAGGGCGCTGTTGTGGTGGGAACTAGAGACAATAAGGGAGGCCTTAGACTCCTAGATTCCCACATGGGCCTGCACATGTTCCCTCCCTCTTCTCAACCAAAGTGAGGACAAGTGATGGGAAGGATAGAATCCCATTCCCTGGAAAGAAGCTTTGCCTCAGGCTGTATGGAGTGTCCTCAGTACAAACAAAATTTTTACTAATTTCTTTGCCATCTCTGGGACTTGGTTAGACCACATCAGTCAGGAGGGTGGGTGCTCACAAACTCCCAGGAGCCCAGAGCAGCAGTTGCTGGTTGTTTGGGGAGACCCAGGACCTACCTCTGGACTGGTGTCCCTCATGTGGAGCTGCATGAGGATCGCTCTTGCATCCCAGAACTCCAGAGAGAAGAGGCATGCTGTAGGCTCTGAGGGCAACACTCCCAGGGGACAGCAGAAGCTAGAGGACTGTTTGGAGCTGGCGTCAATGAAAGGAGTTGGACAATCAAGCTGAATAGCACTTAAGGTTTTAAAAGTCAGCCAGGGGCCGAGCCCGTGGCACACTCGGGAGAGTGCAGCGCTGGAAGCGCAGCAGCTCTCCCGCCGTGGGTTCGGATCCTATATAGGAATGACTGGTGCGCTCACAGCGCTCACTGGCTGAGCGCAGTGTGGCCGGTCTCAAAAAGGACAAAATAAATAAATAAATAAATAAATAAATAAATAAATAAATAAATAAATAAATAAAAATAAAAGTCAGCCAGGCTGGGCTGGGCTCCAACCCCACATTCCAAGTCCTTAACCGAAGCAGCCAGGAGGAGGACAGGGATGGAAGAGGCCAGAGTAGATGGGTGAGAAAAGGGGCCTCTGGGAGGGCATATCTGTAGGGTGCACTGGGCAGGGCTATCAGGTCCTAATGACAACCCTGTATGGAGAGGTTGTCACCGTGGGGCACCAGCAGGCTGGGGCTCTGGCTTTCACCAGTTTATTCTGGTGAAAGCTTATTCACCACCATTTGGGGCTTCTTGTCTTGTGAAGTGACTAGAAGGGCCCTCAAAGTCGAGGGACTACAGGAAACATTCAGCTCACAAGCTGATTTTGTTTGGCCTGTACAGTATTTATTTTTAATTTTAATTGTGGTAAAATGCATATAACATAAAATTTGCTGTCTTAACCATTTGTAAATTGACAGCTGAGTGATGTTAATCATACATTGTTGTGCAACCCATCTCTGGAGCTTTTTTGTCTTGCAAAACTGAAACAATACACATTAAACAACTCCCCATGTTCTTCTCCCCTCAGTCCTTGATAACTACCATTCGACTTTCTATCTGTGCAAATTTGACTTTCTAAATACCTCATATAAGTGGAATCATGCAGTGTTTGTCCCTTTGTGATGGCTTATTTAACTTAGCATAATGTCTTCAAGGTTTATCCATGTTGTAGCATGTGTCAGAATTTCCTTCCTTTTTGAGGCTGAATAATATTCCATTGTGTGTATAGACCACATTTTGTTTATCCATTCATCTGTTGACAGACACTTCATTTGCCTCCACCTCTTGGCTAATTGTGAATAATGCTGCCATGAACATGGGTGTACAAACAACTCTTCTAATCACTACTTTCAGTTCTTTTGGGTATATATCCAGAAGTGGAATTGCTGGATTGCATGGTAATTTTATGTTTAATTACTTGGGGTGGGCTGCCTAGTTAGCTCAGTTGGTTAGAGTGTGGTCAAGGATTTGGATCCCTGTACCAGCCAGCTGCCAAAAAATAAAAAAAAAATTAGTGGGGGAGGAATCACCGTACCTTTTCCCACAGCGGCTGCACCATTTTACATTCCCACCAACAGTGCACGAGAGTTCTGATTTCCCCACATCCTTGCTAACACTTGTTATATTCCATTTTTGGATAGTAGCCACCTTACCGGATATGAGATGAAATATTTATTTTTTTAAGCCCCTACTGAAAAAGTGAGAAGTTTCACAAAAATAGTTTAGTTTCCACTTAAAAAAACTCTTGGGAGGTAACTCCAAAGACTGGGCCCCATGTGGGACCATTGCTGGGCTGAGGCAACCTCCCCAGGCCTTCCTGGATGGCCCAGGCCACTTCCAGCCTCCAGAGGGGGACTTGGAAACTTCCAGGAGGCATTTCTGAGGCACTTCTGACATGGTTTGAAAAAGTGGGATACTCTGGTCATGTTGCTGCTTGGCCAAAATCAGCAGGAGCTGGGTAGTCACTGCCCCTCTTCAGGTGGGGTCTGTGTCTTCCATCTTGCCAGAATGCCCTATCTGGCCTGGTGCCCGTAAACCCTGGCCTAGGCCCTTCTCACCTGATTAGTGGGTGCAGTGAGGAGCTCAGGATTTGGGTGTTTTGCAGAAACGTCCTTTGCCTCCTCACTGCACCAGGGTCACCTTCCCCAGGAAGCCCTCCTCCTTGGTCTCATAGTGTCAGGTGCCTTCAGTGTTCAATTGGAACCGAAGCTCCTTGAAGCCAAGTTCACAGAATAAGTCAATGGTGGATCCTGGACTCCCCAGCCCAGTGTAAGAGCTGAGTGTGGTGTCAGAACAGAAAATACAAGCTTTGGAGTTAGGTGGAGGTTTGAATCCTGTGATCACTTGCTGGCTGCAGGACCTTTCAGAGTCTCAGCAGCTAGATCAGTGAAATTGGCTTTGGAACACCTTCCTCACTAGGGTTGTTGCGAGGTTGAGATAAGGCCTGGGCAGCCCTCCTCAGAATGCCTGGCTCTATGAGAAATATTTGGTGAGAAGTACGGAAAGGCAATGAGGGATAAGGACACCCTGAAGGTCACTTTGGGGCCCTAGAGCTCATGGGATGTCATGTAAGGACACAGGATTAGCAGGATGGGAGGGCATTGGTTAGGGAGGAAAGTTCAGGGAGGGCTCAGAGAAGGGGAGTGAAGCTCAGTGGTCAGAGTACCTGGTGAACAGTCAGGCAAGAATAGTGTCCATGGAGGGCATATGGAGGCCTTGGAGCTGCCAGCCCTTGCAGCAGCCCTTCCCAACCTTCCCTGAGCCTCAGTACCTACCTGGGGAGCTGGTCACAAGGCTGACAATGGGATTCAGCCCTAGAGATTCAGATTTGGACAACTGTGGTGAGCTCGGGAGACATCTGGGATTGCAGCACGCCTTCTAGGTGTTTCTGCTTTAGGGCTGGAGGCATTACATTTAGCCAGTCAGTGGCACCATCCCTCCAGAATCCTGAGTAGGCCAAGGCCTCTCCTAGATGCTAGCTGCTGGTGGCTTATTGGCTGGCCCCACAGGCAGTGTGGGACAAGGCCTGGGCCGGAACAGTGGCCCTGCAGCAGGACACCGGGCACACTGCCCCCGAATCAGGACTGTAAGAAGATGAGGCTGTTACTGGTGAGCAGGTGGACATGGGCTGGGGGGGGGGGGTGAAGTGTGGGAGTGTGGAGCCGTCAGCCCTGCTGGGACAGTCTGATCCTAGGGCTACCAGCTTCCTCTGGGGCCCCCCCCCCCCCCCCCCCCCC